AAGAATCACGCAAAGGAAGCACGGTTTTATTACGGGCAGGCGGGGCGTGAGAGCTCGCATCAAGGATTACGTGGCACTACCAGGCCACACGCAGGCCACCAAATATCAGCTCTATGCAACCGTCAACCACAACCTCGCAAAGCACGCGAGGTGGGGGCCACAACAGCTGACAGACACCCCCGGGGGCATGAGTGAGAGTAGCAAGGCAAAGACAGCAGCAGCAGCAGCAGCAGCAGCAACCAAAGACTCACTCCTTAGTGACCTCCAGCTCCCGCTCGATGCGGTCCCTGCCCCTCGCGGCCACCTCCCTCTCCATCTCGGCCTTCTGGCAGCGCCGCATGCTTGCCTCCACCTTGAGGAAGAGCTGCTCGTGGGACTGCAGCACTCGCTGGTAGTCCTTCTTGTTGCTCATCAGGAGGGGGCTCTGCTTGAAAGAATTTTTCGTTCAACAGGAGAGAACACGCGGGCTAGGAAGAGTGAAACGAAAGCTCTGCCCATTTGTTTCGCGCTCTTGGTTCAGCTTGGTCAACGGCTCTAATGCACCGAAAAACGCATCAAAGTAAGTGAACAGCAATAGACAAAAGACACAAAAATAGAAAGCATGTCGTGCCCCACCTTCTCAACAAACAAAAACAGTAAAAAATCACAGTTTATGTACAACACCCAACAACACCGACAACTAGACAACAGCTAACACCTGCCAACAACCAATCAGCCGTTGAGGTGAGTGTTGCTATCCCCCACCTTCTGATCGACCTCTCTCAAGATCCTGGTGAGGTACAGCTGGTTACGGTCCCGGTCGCTGCGGACGTACTCCAGCTCCCTCTCCATCTGCATCAGTCGCATCTGCCAAAGATGGTTGTGGATTATGTAAGTACCAGGTAGGCAAACTAGAACGCATGAGAACACAAAGCACGAGGGCTTAAGTTCTGTATCAGCTCGCCATTCGTGTGTGTGCGGTGAATAGGCAGGAAGACGGGATACTGGGTACGGGTTAAGAGGTAAAATACCGCGGATTGGATCGAAATATCTTGTTCAAGACAACAAAACCACAACAACAACAAATGCACATATATGCGCGTGGGAAACATGTCGTATCTCGCTTTGTTCAATCATGCACTGCTGGAACAGCGGTGTATGGCCCCACCATCCGCATCAGCAGCACCTGCAAACGCCATCAAACTGACAACCATGCACTCGCAGGCGGAGCAGCCCGCTATATGGACATGCGTGCGTGCCTGGGAGAGAGGCACCAACAGCCAAATCGCGCTATTATTTAGTCACATTGATCTTTGCAACAACGTAATCCATGCTGATTCTTTTCTTCCGTTTTGGTACAGCAGTCTAACGTTAAAACTCAAAAATCGAAGGCAAGCTCTGCAGGAAAGGCGGGTAGAGGGGGCCTTAGGGGGAGGAACCCTTCTGTATAACTGACCGCGGATTGGAGCTCCTACACGGCAGAAATAAATGGTGTGAGCGCTGAATTATGATGAAACAAAAAATTATGAACGAACAAAAAAAAAAAAGAGCTCGCCTTGAGTTCGGTTTCATCGAGGCTGTCCAGGTCGACCGATAGGTCCAGCGGCACAGGTTCGGCCTCCATGGGGTCTCCGCTGCCAGACCCCCCCTGACGAGAAGGAACGAACACGAACCGAGAGAGAGATTCAAGAAGGGGTGGCTGTGAGGTGAGGTGATACAGCACAATCTACCACCTTGCTTTATTAATAGTTTCAAGGACACAAAATTAGATGACATACTTGGGTATGTTGAGATTCAAGGATCTGTGTCGTGAGGTGATAAAAAAATCGACCATTATACCTCGCTCCATAGTTTCAAAGGTGGAAACAAAAATTAGCCGACATACTGGTGTGTCGATTCAAGGATTCGTGAATCATGGTGCTTGCAAATACGCACACGAGGGAATGGAGGGGTGGCTGTGAGGCGATAAAATCGACCACATTGTTTTACTGTTTGATTTTGTGGAAAGCAAATTAGATGACATATTGCTGCACAAACCGGTGCGTTGATTCAAGTACCATTTGGAGGGAGAGGGGGGACAGAGAGGCGCCAAGAGAATATCCAAGGACGGGCGGTTATGAGGCGAGGTAATGGAATCGACCACTTTATTTGGTTTTCAAGTGGAAAAAAAAATGACAACACAAAACGGGACTACTACCACTTGATTTTCAAGTGGAAAAAACGTATCGACACAAAAACAAACTGGTGTGTTGACGCCAAGTGCCAAATGGAGGAGGGGGGCGTGAAACATCAAGTACTTGTTTTGTTTCCTCTCCACACTGATGACAACTGCGTGGGAACACAAGGAGTTAGGGATTCATGTGTTCCTTTGCCAAGCGGAGCATGGTGCACTCTCGCAAGGAGAGAGTGGGGGGTGGGGGGTGGGGGGTCGAATGTCGTGTGGCAGTCACGCCCCCAAACACACCGGCCACCTGCTATTCTCCCTTTACGGCGGTAGACGTCCCTGTTTAGTGGCGGTTGAATAGTGCCGGGTGCCGCTTTAGTGCCGGTCAAATCTCGGCGCGCACGCAGAGCCCTGATTAGTGCCAGACCGGCACTATCGGGGGCTGCCCACCATAGTGCCGGTTCGGGCACCACTGTACCCCACAGTAGTGCCGGTTTACGCCCGCACGCACACAGTTTTCAACCGCGCTGAGACTGACATATTTTATTGGTCAGCAGGTTAGCGCGGCGATGCTATGAAGAAAACACACACACAACGGGAGGACGATGAAAGCAATCCGAAACGAACGCGCGTCCAAAGGTAGAAGTAGCCATGGTAAACACGTACAGTCTTCTTCTGTCATTGCTACGGTATCGTTCTCATTAATTCTTCAATCCGGAGAGTTGCATAGACTCCCCCATGACACTCCCTCACAGGGTCCCAGATCGTGGCCTAGCACTTTATTTTTTCCTCCGCACTGAGACTGACGTCTTTTCATTGGTCAGCCGGTTAGCGCGGTCAATGCTACAGAGGGGGTCCCAGTTTAGTGCCGGTTTCATTGTGCCAATGCCCGGTATAGTACCGGTCAAATCCCTGGGCACAGCCAGAGCCTTGCTTACTGTCAGACCGGCACTAAACAGGGATGCCCACTATAGTGCCGGTTCGGGCACCTTGGAACCCCTCAATAGTGCCGGTTTACGTAAGCACGTCACACACACACAGCTACACGCCACAGCAGCAGCTGCGCCACAGAGAGAATAGGGTACAAGTGCAACCCAATACAATAGCTCTACGCAGACGCGCACCATGCCATGTGCAAAAGGTGGTCTGTGTCTTCTACAAGACAGAACGCCGCAAGCCCCTAATGGCCACGTTTGCAAGGGAGGATGCGGCGGGCGGCTCCACGGCCAATGCGGAAGCGCGTTTGACGATAGCGAGATGCACCGCATCTGCAGCACGTGCGTCGCCAAGGCCGGCAAGCGCAAAGCGAAAGCAGCTGTCAAAAACGGATGCATTCCATGTTCTGCGCTACCCGGAACCAGGTGCTTCGTCAAAGCCGACACGCTTCGGGCGGAGATGGCGGCTGAACTCACCAAGCAACACGGAAAAGCCCGAGGCCGGATCGCCGAGCCTGAGATGAAGGCTCTCACTAC